AATTTAAATCCCAATCCTGTTTAAAATAAAATTAAACAAACAAAAAAGTGGTGAAGAATCGAGAAGAAATAAAGGAAGCATGGTTTAATATGCAAAAAACTGTCGATTCTGAGGTCGTGCAGAACCTTATGACTTGGGTTCGCGCATTCGGATATGCCAAAACTAACATTAATTGTTTCTTTTTACTCCCTAAAAATTTGGTGATAATCGGATAAAAACTCGAGTTTTGAGAATGAATTTTATGTGTGCGTATTTTAAACGGTACAACCAACAATCAATACGAAACTAACGATTTTAAATTGGCTCATCACTTTAGTACCCTATTGGTCCCAAGCAAACGATTAACGTACCCTATTCTAGTTGAAATTCTATTACTACACTATGTTTGTTTTGATTTGCTATGAAAGTTTGACAGATAACATCAGGGGTGTGTGGATTCATGCAGAACATGCAGGGGTGAGTGAAATAGCTTGGGACTGCTTGGGACCGTTGTTCTGGTACTGAGTGAGCCAAACATAATAATGATTTTCTTCGGGACCCAGTGGTCTTAGAGTTACCTCTATGGTACAACCTTTATACCTAATGCATGGCCGCCTGAATTAAAAAATAACACACCCGAACGATATCCCAAATTATAGTTCTAACTAAAGCCCTACAGTAAAAGTATGGACGTCTGTCAAAAGTTGTTCCAATCGAACCGTCAAAATGCACCGCTTTGCTCGATTGGAACAGCTTTTTTTCAGTTTTGTGGTGACAGTCGTCCATACTTTTACTGTAGGGCTTTAGTTCTAACCACAAACGAAGTGACAGACGGAGCGGCTCGAAAACATTGGTGACTAACCTGCTATTTCCATTTTTCAGTGTACCACATGGCAACTGGATTAAACTCGAGATTAAACTAGCATTTTCACCAGATGTACTAGAATGGTTTGGTTCTATCTCTTTCACTCTACTCAAAACTAAAATGCAGGGCTGTTACAAGATTGTCTAAATTTGATCCGCGAAATCCGTGATTTCTCAAAAGAAATCCGCGACATCAAATATTAATCCGCGACACAAAAAAAAACTGTTTTCATACTACTACATGGCATTTCAAGCTTATTGCTTATAGCATATTAGATTTATGCCTTAGTGTTCTGTGGTTCTTTTAAGTACTTTTACATTTTAATTGAGAGCTTTCTATGGCTGTACCAAGGACGTAGAGACATTTTCGAACCCGAAAAATTAATAGACCGGACGGGAAGAGAACTCAGTCGCCTCCAGCATGGACTTGCTTTGTAGCTGCGCCCTCGGCTGCGCCTTTACTGACTGAGCTAAAGGAGTATCGTTTGTAACGTTTGAATTAAAAAAAAAAGAATAACATTGTATCATCTTTAGTTATTTATGTATAGTATTAATTCTGAGTAATTAGTGAACATAATAAAACACCCTTACATTATGAGATTCTATTGAATAATACCGGACTAGATTTGATGAAACATTATTAAAAAAAATTAATACATTTTCATTTGAAATGCAAATTTTCTTGAAAATTAACCAGAGACGTATTTTGCTGTCCTAAATGTTGTAGTTAATTTGGCTATAGTTTTCTCAATTTTTTACCGATTCAAACCAAACACCCTGCACATAATCGAGAAATTACCAAAGTCACCATAAGTCACGCTTGTTGGTCACGTTGTATTTACACGGATATTCCTAGGGTTCTGCCCAATGGTGAGACATTATCATGATATTTTTTTTTATTTCTAATATGAACCTAGCACTTTTCGTTGACAAATCATAACCGAATCGTATATATGTGACTTTGTGGATCATGTACGACTCATTACTGTGTATACCGGAAATTATAGGTTTTCCAAATCGTCCAGGACATCAGTTGATTTGTTGTACTAGATCAACCAAGACTGCAATAATGTCTGTAGTATCGAAATATGTCCAATCAGATTCAAAGTGTCTATGTGGATCATGCATGATCTATTTCCGAGTAATCCAGATGTTCAAGGTTCTTCAAATCGTCCTGGAGTTCAGATAATTTGATCTACTAGATCAACCGAGATTGGGACAATGGGGCTTATTACGGATGTCACTTCACGGTGAAAACTTGCCACTTGTCATCACGATGAAGTGATTCCCATTTGATTTGTACGGCAATCACGGATCTTATTCTGAGTATCACTTCATTATCACCGTGTAGTGACACCCGTAATAAGGCCCAATGTCTTTAGTATCGAAATATTTCCAGACAGATGCACAGTGTCTATGTGGATCATGCATGAACTATTGTCATGTATACCAGATGTTTTAAGTACTCCAAATCGTTCTGGGCCTCATAGCCTAGTCAGTAAAGGCACGGTATTACTAAGCCGGAGGCGGCGGGTTCGATTCCCGGTCCGGTCGAGGGAATCTTTCGGGCTGGAAATTTTCTCGACTTCCCTGGGCATTGAGTATAATCAACAATCAATACGAAACTAACGATTTTAAATTGGCTCACCACTTTAGTAGCCTATTGGTCCCAAGCAAACGATTAACGTACCCTATTCTAGTTGAAATTCTATTACTACACTATGTTTGTTTTGATTCGCTATGAAAGTTTGACAGATAACATCAGGGGTGTGTGGATTCATGCAGAACATGCAGGGGTGAGTGAAATAGCTTGGGACTGCTTGGGACCGTTGTTCTGGTACTGAGTGAGCCAAAAATAATAATGATTTTCTTCGGGACCCAGTGGTCTTAGAGTTACCTCTATGGTATAATCAACAATCAATACGAAACTAACGATTTTAAATTGGCTCACCACTTTAGTAGCCTATTGGTCCCAAGCAAACGATTAACGTACCCTATTCTAGTTGAAATTCTATTACTACACTATATTTGTTTTGATTCGCTATGAAAGTTTGACAGATAACATCAGGGGTGTGTGGATTCATGCAGAACATGCAGGGGTGAGTGAAATAGCTTGGGACTGCTTGGGACCGTTGTTCTGGTACTGAGTGAGCCAAAAATAATAATGATTTTCTTCGGGACCCAGTGGTCTTAGAGTTACCTCTATGGTATAATCAACAATCAATACGAAACTAACGATTTTAAATTGGCTCACCACTTTAGTAGCCTATTGGTCCCAAGCAAACGATTAACGTACCCTATTCTAGTTGAAATTCTATTACTACACTATATTTGTTTTGATTCGCTATGAAAGTTTGACAGATAACATCAGGGGTGTGTGGATTCATGCAGAACATGCAGGGGTGAGTGAAATAGCTTGGGACTGCTTGGGACCGTTGTTCTGGTACTGAGTGAGCCAAAAATAATAATGATTTTCTTCAGGACCCAGTGGTCTTAGAGTTACCTCTATGGTATAATTGTGTTAGCCACACAATATACAAATTATGCATTGTTATTGGCATCGAAAGCTCTCAATTAATAACTTTGGGAGTGCATTTAGAACACTAAGTTGAATTCACGCAATAAGCTTGAAATGCGAATAAGAAGAAGAAGAAATCGTTCTGGAGTTCAAATGATTTATTCTACTAGATCAACCATGACTGGAATGAAGGCATCAAATTATGTCCAAACAGATTCATAGTGTCGATATGGATAATGTATAATTATTTCCACGTATACCAGATGATCTAGGTTCTCCAAATCGTCCTGCAGTTCAGATGATTTGTTTTACTAGATCAACAAAGACTACGATAATATCTGTAGGAAATCCTAGAACATTTGGCATGATCCACATAGACACTGCAAATTGGTTTGCACATATTTCGATACTACAGACATTGAATTAGTCTTGGGTGATCTAGTAGAAAAATAATCTGATCCACAGAATGATTTCAGAACCTATAACATCTTGTATACGTAGGTCGTATAGGTCGGGTACAATCCACATAGACACTTTGAATCTGTTTGGACACATTTCGATACTACAGACATTATTGCAGGCTTGGTTGAAATAGTAGAACAAATCAACTAAACTCCAGGACGATTTGGAGAACCTAGAATATCGGGTATACATGGCAATTACTTGCATATATACGATTCGTTTATGATTTGACAATAGAAAATGCTATGTTCATATTAAAAAAAGGGAAATTTACAGGGTGCTTAGTTTGAACCGGTAAAAAATTGAGAGCCAAATGAACAACAAAATTGATGACAGCAAAATAATCCGGGACGGAAAAGTTACAATGAATTCCACAATTTTTGTGACAGCACATCAGTCCCTTCGCGATTTTCACGACATCATTTAATGTTTCCGCTATTTTCGCGATTGAAAGTTCAAATCCGCGACTAATCCGCGAAAATCGCGAAATCCGCGAAATTCGCGAAATCCGCGCCTGTTGTAACAGCCCTGGAAATGCATAAAAAAATGAAAAAATGATACGCACTCTTTGCACACTGCCAAAGAATCATTGTACACAAAATCAACTTTGTGCAAAACCAAAACAAAAATACTATCCCATGTGGTGGATGATGGCACAAGCTTCTAAGAAAATTCTATTACAGCGAACCACATTATTTTAATTGATCTCTTCGCCAGTTAGTCGTCTGTCACTTCGTTTGTGGTTCTATAGTTTATTCTATTCTATAGTGGTTATAACTATTCCACAAATGGCTTGGATGATACCCTGAGCTCGTAGTTAAGCAAAATAACCATACACATTTTATTAGGGTGGTCACAACTGTTGAACCCTCCCCCCTCAAATGCTACGTCTTTTATGCATGTTCGCTTAACTTAAATAAAAACAATCTTTGAGCGATTATTTAACAAAAGAAACAGCCCACAGCGATAACTTCCATCATAGTAAATCTAGTCGCCGGAAGATGGCGATAACTGTTTTTAATAATCAAATATCGTTTATCGCTCACAGTTCCACTCACACATTTACATGTCGCAATCCCAACTTGTGCAACAAACAAACTCTCTCTCTCTTTACTCTCTCATGGCTCAGCTGAGAGTGGAGGTTCCGCACATTAAAATTCATACCAGACTGCACAGCTGAACTACAATCCTACACACGATACGGTCGAGTATGGACGTGCAACCGCAGAGCAGACGTCTTTGTCAGTACAAAAAGTTAAACTTGAGTAAAATATTGTTGACGGTGCCTCTAATAAGATCGGGAAGTGCTGTCGCGAAGAGTTAGTCTGAAAAATTAATTCAAATCAAAGTTTCAAAACAACAGCGAAGTGTACAAAGCTGAACTGAAAGTTAGAATTCAGTGACCTGTGAATAATATCAAACACTGACGTGAAAAAAACAGTTTTGCGTAATACCAGTGTTGCAGAACGAGTTTCTGTTAAAAATGCCAAGAAGATGTAAAAAAACAGTGTCACAAAAGCGTATACAGTCTGTGATTGATGTTAAGAGACAGCAGTGAGGGAAATAAACACGAAGTGAAAATATTGGAAAAAGTAAAAGCATTTCATTTGATCCCGAGGGTAGAAGTCGAGCGAGAGAGCTAGTGAAAGATAAGGTTCAACAAACGGAATCATAATCTACATCTGTTTGTGAAGTGAACGACAAAGAGACGAGAGGCAAACAAATATAATACGGGCATTGTGTGAGCATTACGGAAACGATCCGGTCTATAAAACCTGATAACGGAAAGCTAGATTGTAGTGCCACAAAATGTGGTGTTTGATAAATCTACCCAATGGCACTACCTCGGGGGTCCAGTGCGATCCCAAGAGGAACAGCCAGGAATGTCTGGAAAAGGTAAGGATATTTATTTGCGCTTCAGAAAAGATAAAATTCAATCGATACGAGTGGGAATCGTCCCTATAATGGTGTAAAAGTGGCTAAAATTAATGGCTAAAGGAATTCTAACTATGATGGCGGCGACCTAAACAAGCATCGCCTGGCGCCCGCTAGTCTGTGCCAATAGAAAATTGCAACCTGCCACCGATGTAAAGAGAGAGTACGTCGATGTAAACAAATTGTTATCGCTCGATCCCTTTTTCGCTATAGCATGCGTTGTATACTGCCATATGGCATGGGTTCTCTTTTTATTGTTTTGATGTTGACGGTCGCGATTCACTACAACGGTAGATCACTATTATTAGCTCGAAAGGCATGTAGAGCAATCGGATCTGTCAATCGACGACACAGTTCTATACGCAAATCTATCCTCTAGATTTGAGCGTCGATGTATTGCTTTAGACGCAGCGAGGTAACGATGAATGGGATGATGGACTTTACGGTCAGTCTCAATAGAGTACGCTGACACTTTGCCTCGTTGCAAAGGGTCCGATCTCGCACGAGATGAGGGTGTGATTATTTGACTAGTCGACATACGAAAGAGTATTTTTACATATGAACTGTGCCGCCTCTAAGGTCGCTGCTTTCTTGCATCATTCTTTTATTAGTGGAAGAACTTTTGCTAATAGATGTGATGTAATTTTCAAGACACAAGTACTCCGTACATTTTGTACAGCATGCAATAAAGGAAAAAAGGTTGTCTGTCCACGATACTTGGCGCATTACCGGCATGCGATTTATTTCTCTTTGCTCGCTTCCATTTCCCACATGGATACAGAGATGGTGTATGCGCCTGAAAGCGGCTAGCTCGAGAAGGTAAAATAATACCTGGTCAAAGTCCAAACCCGACCGAACGACAGATACCACGAGTCGAGTCGAGTTCGTGTCTGTTGGAAATCCACTCTGTTGACGACGGTGACTTCACTGTTAAAAATGAGTGTGAATCGTAATTACTCAACACTTTTGTGGATTAGAGACACTGGTTGGGATCTGTTGGGATTAGAGAAATGATTAAAATAGCTGTGCCTGTGGTAAAACCCAACATTTGAGACATAGAGTCGCGTGGAAGCCCTAATCTGGAACACGTTTCCCAAAGTCTGCTTTAAAAGTAATGTGACAAACACATCAACATTGTTATAATCATCGAGGCATTAACGATGATATCAGAAAAGGGGGTTACCGCTTCAATTTCATTAGGTTAGGTTTTTCCCAGGAAGGCGAGGTCATATCATATGGGAACAATTATTTCGAGCTAATTAGGATACAGCTTAAACCACTAATCCATCTAGGGAAAAACATTAATTTTATTTGTCACTGCTTTGCTGAACTGCAAAATAATAAACACATCATGGAGCCAGGAAATGAAATCCATGCTAATGAACCGAAGGCCTCGCCGCAGAATCCCTGCATCTGCTGTGTGTACTTGCGCTCGGGCACGTAGTCAGTTGGCAACAAGCGCTGTGTAGTGTATATCAGCAATCAATAAGCGAGTGCTCTACCTTGAAATCTCGCTGCTTGTGGCTGCAGTATTCATGTGGGCTTGATTTCCAAGAATATGTACTAGACCAGTTCAAAATACGTGGACCACTGCTGATCCCATGGGCGTTCGATTCCCAGTTCGGTCCAGAAAACGTTGGAAATTTTCTCGACTTTCCTCGGCATAGAGTATCATTGTGATTACTACATTAATATCCAAATTCATGTATTGGTTGGCATAAAAAGCTCTCAATTAGTAAGTTTGTGACAACTGTCAAACTTGCCGTTTCCTTTCCGCTGTTGTGACATCGCTCATGAAACTGTAACTTTGCGTTTGTTGCACAGACATGTTGTATGTGTTGTGAGAACTGATATTTCTGCTCTTAAAAGTTCGAGGTGATAATGGAATAAATCAGAAACAAGGATTCCACTGCGATTCACCTTAAACCTTAGAAAAATGCTCCTTTACTGCGTAGCTAGTCAGATTTACTGCCTGGTCCGTGTGTTTTTTTACTAAAAGAAGCGGAGCGAGCGGCAAGCTTATAACAAAAATTCTAAAGAAAATGTTTACATAACCTTCGTAAGAAGATTTTAAAAGAATCTTCCAGAAAAACATTCTAAAAGAAGCTTCTTTTGGAAGCTCACTCTGGCAGGGATGCCAGATATACAGACATGTCTGTATTTATACAGACATTTGATGATGCATACAGAGTACATACAGCAATATCCATCAGTATCAGAAAAGGGTTTCAGTAAAGAATTGACTTGCTTAAAACATGCTTTTTCGAACATATATTTGCCAAAATGCAGAGCTGCTACGACTACTCGGGTGTCACGAGTGAGACTTCGCAGATTTCATTTGAATTTGTATTTCTAATTTGAGCATTTGTAGCCCTTCATAACTCTGAAATCTCGTAGACCTCTCAGAACTTCCACGACCTTATCAGTTCCCTGAATACTCTCCGAAGATCTCTGAGCCTCTCCGAAGTTCACTGAACCTATCAGTAGTTCTCCAAATGTATCAGAAGCTGTTTGAGTTTCGCTGCTTCTTCTTTTCATTATTCCTGATTATTTAGGAATTTCTCTGAGAAGTTCAGAGAATTTCACAACAGCTCTGAGAGCTTCATAGAAGTTTAGAGCACTCCAGGGAAGTCTAGAAAATGCTTGATAAATTTCCTGAATTTGAATGAAGGTCAGTGGACTTCAAAGAAACTCAGTGAAATTTAGAGAAACAGAAATCTAAAAAGGCTCAGAGATCACCTTTAAATTGAAGTAATGAAATTGGGTTGTTAGCGGAATGCTTAAATAAAACAGCAAAAAAAGGTTATCTTCCATTTAATTCCACTTAATTAATTTTGGTATCCATGACAGATACGTATTTCGACTACAATGTGCAGTAGACTGATGCAAAATTTGACTTTTTCGCTCCACAGTGCTTAAATGGTTTCAAATCGGGTCCTCATTAGCCTCCCAAAGTTACAACTCATTTGGTTAGAAACAGACTTCGCACAAGCCATTTGAAGTTTACACGTAAATTACTATGGGAAATCTCAACTTTTTGTTCATTGCCTTCTAGTCTTTTTCCATATTGAGCTGCGAAACAGTTCGATAGCCATTATTAAAAAATTTCTCAGCTACAACTTTGCTGAAGACCGTTTTTATGTAAAACGAGACAGGAAAAAGTTATTAATTATTTAAGAGAGTGGTAAACTTATGACATGATCAAGCAGTTGCTCTGTAGGCAACACTGTATTTTGCAGTGTGACATAGTAGCCATGATTTTTGTGTCCTATTCAACGCCCCAGAAACACCAATGTTGCCTGCTGAGCAGTTGATTGAGCATGATCATTAGACATCAGCGCATTGAACCATTGTTAACTTTCGATCCTTCCATTTAATCAAAAAGTGGTCTTGGGCAAAGTTGTAGCTGGGAAAATTTCTTGCAAGTGCAGTTGAAAGCTTTTGAAGCAGACCGATATGGTAAATTATTAAATAGACATGAACAAAAATCTTGGTTTTACTATAGTAATTCCCATACAAACTTCAAATGGTTTGTGCCATCTCAGTTTCTCACCAAAGGGGTTCAAATTTTGAGAGGTTAATCAGGATCCGATTTGGAATCGTTTAAGTATTGTGGAGCGAAAAAGTCAAATTTTGCATCAGTCTAATGTGCAGTCTTCATCAGTGTCATTCCCACTAGAGAACTTTTCAAAACCTAACCCCCTTAAGTACTCATCCCGTAGGTATAAAAGTCAAGATCACCTTTAAGTTATTTGGATGAATTTCAGAGGAGTTTAGTGAACTCTACAGAAGTCTTGCAAATAATGGAGAAATTTCTTGAACTGAAATAAGATCAATGGACTTAAGAGACATTCAGAGAAATTTGAACGCATACTCACTGAAATGAAGGAAATATCAAAAATATACAGGAAACCAGTGTTGGCAGAATCAGAAATCAATTGATATTTTTTCGCTTTCATGCGCTCGCAATATCACGCGTGATATTGGAACAAAATATCATGCTTGATATTGATTTTACAAGCTCCTTTGATATTGCGAGACTATTCATAACGTGCAAAAATCAAGCTTAGAGTTGACTCGACACAAAAATGATTCCATTGCACATCGTTTTCTTAGAAAGAGAAAGCATAGTTTGCTATCTCTTTTTAATCTTCACCGATGGCAGACACGAAGCGACTGCTGCCAGCCGTAATGGAAGTTTCAGTTGTATTCGGGTGTAAAGCAAAAATTCATTAAACTCAATATCACCACAGTTTGGTGAGATTTGCAGCTGGTGAGTTTTGTTAGCTTGATACAGCGTTGCCAGGTTGCCAGATTTATCTAGCACAGCCAGATAAATTTAAGCTCTGCCAGACAGATTTTTTGAGAAATCTGGCAGCTTCCTATGTTAATTTGCCGTGCCAGATTTTTGCCAGACATTTTTTTCGGGTTTTGCCAGATTTTTTTTTTCAAAATAAGCCTGGCATCTCTGGCTTGATATTCCGAGCTGCGATATAACAGCTTGCAAAATCAACCGCAGTAGTTTGCTTGTTGGGGCCCCCCTTAGCTCAGTCGGTAAAGGCGCAGCTACAAAGCAAGACCATGCTGGAGGTGGCTGGGTTCAATTCCCGGTTCGGTCTAGGAATTTTTCGGATTGGAAAATTTCTCGACTTCCCTGGGCATAGAAGTATGATTGGACTTGCCACACAATTATACCAATGCAAAAATGGTACAGGCATCGAAAGCTCTCAATTAATAACTGTGGAAGTGCTAAGTTGAGAGCACGCAATAAGCTAATATGCGATATGCAATAAGCGAAATTCAAGCGTGCACACTTAAAAAAAAAATCATGTAAATTTAGGTGCTCTGAGACTGACATATACGAGCGTCATTTTTGACATAAAATTGAGTCGTAATAGACGCAACATTCAGCTCAATCAAACGTACTTTTCGTCGAGTACCGAACTTTTCAGTCTCGGAGC